GTGTCATCTGTTTCAGAAGCGTAGCGATCCTTCTCAGCTCCCAGGGACAAACTTTCAATTTGCCCCCCCCCCCCCCCCCCCCTCCCATATAATTTTTATATTTATAATGCAAAACTGAAGCTAAAATAAGCTTTTAATTTTTTTTCCAACCCTTTTTGGTGCCCCCTAGGGTCGGCACCCGGTGACATATGTACCCCCCCCCCCCAGAGTTTCTTCCAGGCATCTACCGCCCCCCCCCCCCGAACGAAATGAAATTTATATAATTTATATAGAAAATATATACTTTTAACAGTGACCGCCCCCCCCCCCCCCCCCGAAGAAAGTCTACCGCCCCCCCCCCCCCCCCCCCGAAAATTTCAAGTGCCCCCACACCCGGAGAAAAAAGTCTGGAAGAAACACTGACCCCCCCCCCCCCCCTCGCTACGTCTCTGATCTGTTTTACCTCCTGTATTCGTCTAGATATCAGTATATCGTTTTATTAAATATTTTAGTTTGTTTGTGTATGACTTAGACTGGGCTATCTATTTTATTGTCGTCTATCCCCCCCCCCCCCCCACGTACCCAGGTTTTGTCAATTCGTTCCTGTCGTGGCCAGCGTGGATCCCACTGTCCAGACTTGCCCTGGGGACCTACCTGGTGCACCTGATGGTCATGATGTACTTCAACAACAACGCCAGGACAGTGGAGTATTTCACGTACAATCTGGTGGTAAGGGAGGGAACTCTTTGTCAGACTGGGTCACTAGAACTATGGCGGTGATGGGTTATGAAAAAAGCGACAGTATGGTTAAGCAAAGGGCGCCAGAAGGGTAGGGCAAAGGGCGCTAGTAGGGTAGGGCAAAGGGCGCTAGTTGGGTAGAGCAAAGGGCGCCAGTAGGGTAGGGCAAAGGGCGCCAGTAGGGTAGGGCAAGGGGCGCTAGTAGGGTAATGGCAAAGGGCGCCAGAAAGGCAGGGCAAAGGGCGCCAGTAGGGTAGGGCAAGGGGCGCTAGTTGGGTAGAGCAAAGGGCGCCAGTAGGGTAGGGCAAGGGGCGCTAGTTGGGTAGAGCAAAGGGCGCTAGTGGGGTAGTGCAAAGGGCGCCAGTAGGGTAGTGCAAAGGGCGCTAGTAGGGTAGTGCAAAGGGCGTCAGTAGGGTAGTGCAAAGGGCGCCAGTAGGGTAGTGCAAAGGGCACTAGTAGGGTAGTGCAAAGGGCGCCAGTAGGGTAGTGCAAAGGACGCTAGTAGGGTAGTGTAAAGGGCGCCAGTAGGGTAGGGCAAAGGGCGCCAGTAGGGTAGGGAAAGGTGCGCCGCTGGGGTAGAAAAAGGTTAGTGCACATGGTGTCCCTGGGATGGTGTACAAAAGTCGCCATGGAAACCAAGAATTAAGCACGAAATTTCGGCCAAATGTAATAACTATTTTAAAACGTATTTTTTTAAAAAAAAATTCTCCCCTTAATTTAACTATTTTGTTAATGCAGTTCATACTTTTAAAGTTTTTACTAATAACGTATTCATTCTTCATTTTCAGCTTGAAAGATACGTTTCCGTCTTTATCATATCGAACGCTCTATCGCTGATTCTCTCCCTTCTGATTGAAACCCCTGTCAGAAACCTCATCAAACCCTCCAAAAAACCAACCAACAGCACCGCCACCTTGCCAGATACGCAGCACAAAAACCAAATCTCCAGGCCAAAATCCACGACTCACGAGACGTCGTTCATGCCGGTTAAGAGTTTCGGTCCTGACGTAACAGACGGCACGGCTGTTGTGCTTACCGAGATAAGAGAGCTGCAGCAGCAGACGTCACATCCGGCGACGGGCAGACGATTATCTTCGAGACACGAAGGGTACAGCAACGACGGATTTCTTTCTGAGAACCCTTACGTGGATATTTCTCCCATCAAAGGCCTTCACAATCTTAGGTCCATAAATAAATAAACGTTTGGAAAAAATTAGTTGGATAAATTACTTACTTGTTGGAGAGGGGTGGGGGTGGTGGATAGGTTAAAAACCTAACATTGTTTTAATATGAATTTGTAATTGTTTATCTATGCAATAAATAAAAGAATAGGAAATTATTTTTGGTACTTATTTATTAACCGTACCTTGATATTCATTTAGGCCTTGAACGAATCCAAAAGGGTACGTGTATCCAGAATACAAATATGAGTAATTAATAGCATATTGTTTTTAAAAAGGTGTTTAATAAACCTTTTTTGTATTAAAATTATCAAGTTTTAACTAGTGTGTACAAAGTTGTGCTCTATACACGCAGACACAATGGATTAAACTCAATCTTTTAATTAATTGTTTACATCTTATTATAGATGTATAATGTATTAGTTTTGATAATGCCTTTTTAAACTCCTGCAAATATTGAGGATCAATAATAAAATCCATATTATTTTAGCAGATTCGTGTACTTTGGACCCAGTTTTTATGCAGCGATTTCGTTCAAAATTTCCACATGAATGCATTGCCAATGACAACAAAAGTCTACCCACTTACCAGATATTAATTTGGCGGCCTAAATATAGTAAACTTAAATTAAATACTACTCAACTAAACAACAAAAGGGGAGATTACTAAAGGAAACAATAACAGGGGAGATAACACACGATAGGTCGGGTGAACCATGCTCAAAAATCGGAGTCGATAAGAGAATATAATGAGGGGTAGATAAGAAAAGTGTCGTTTAGAGTTAGTGGATTTAAATTTAAAGTGCAAATATTTTTAATCGTGTGGCACGTTAATTTTTATTTAAACTACCTCTCTATTCAAACGAGCGTAACTAAAGATAAATCTTCAACAGTGATAAAACATAATTATGTAGTTTCCTAATAATAAATGATTGTCAGATTACCACATCAGTTACTCTACCAGTACTATTAATTTTACTGATAAATTTAAAAAAAAAAATGATAAAATAAATAGCTCAAGAAAATTTGAGTATTACATATTAAGAGGATTAATAAGCTTGATATTATAAAGCAGGGGTCGGCAACCTTTTGAAGCGGAAGAGCCAAAAGTTAAAATTTTCAAAATTTCCCTGGTGTTAACAATTTTTTTAATTTCAAGTATTTTATTTTTTGATTAAGATTATTACTATTTGTGCAAGGAGCTGGAGAGCCGCATCTTGACATCAAAAGAGCCGCAGGTTGCCGACCCCTGTTATAAAGGATTTAATATTCATTTGATAGTATGTTTTTTGTGTATATCATTTTCATATGGATGCTCTAGTGTTCTGGGTGAATCCAAGGCTCTCACTAAACTAAATATGGCTATCTCCCATTACCCATTTGTTAAGTAACTGAATCAATTAGTATACAGAGTTTAGGAATTAAAGCACCTATAATGTTCATTATTTCACTTTCAATGTCAGAAAGTCAAATTAGCCTAGCAGGCATGTTGGAATCAAATTTCACCTGCCACATATAGAATGACAATTTTTTTTCTCAAAGTAGTCAAAGGTTCAAGATTTTAAAAATTCATTTGTAGAACTGGGCAAAATTATTCATTTCCAGTGTCTGAAATATATTTTTCTAATAATAGCTTTCAACAATTTTGATGATGTTAATAAATCTGTAAAACTATTGAAAATTTTGGAAACAACAAGAGCTCTTAAACAGAAAAATTTGAAATACTAATAAATAATTGATAACAGCACACATAATTTTTTAACTTTAATTGATTGCAAATATAATACAATGGGCAATAAAAACAATGTACAAAACGACAGATCAGAAAATATACATCTGTTTTTCTTTATGTCAATGATCAAAATATAAATTGAACACACTGTCCACTTAAATAAATACATGTATACACTTTATAATAATTTTCAGTAAAAAATGCAGTAAAAAGCATTGTTTCATTTTCAAGATTTCAGCTGTTCTAATCATACATTAATAATAATACATACCTGAGGTGGTTATTTCCCTTTATTCTATTTTTTTATGAAAAAGATATGCCTTAACAGCCTTTAATAGTCCACCCAAAATAACAATCACTAACACAAGGAAGAAGAAACTTAATGGACCCGTCCCAAGAACAAACATCGAGCAGAGATACGCCAGGCAGATGTAGATCATGGTGTGGTAACTGGCCAGGAAACGTAAGCTGATCCGAGGCTGGTGGGAGCGGATAAGCTGGGCTGTCCGATCGGATATGGGTGAACGAACTCTCCTCAGCTGGTCCTCAGGGTAGGAGGGGGGGATGAGAAACACACGAGCTAAGTAGCCTTTGAAAGATTCATCTTTGTAGGCGTTCTCAAACTCTTTTCTGAACTGTAATAGATAATTTGACAAAGGTAATACATTTCTATAATTATATGGTGTTACAATTTTATATTTGAATATATTGATGAAAATCTGTCATTTAAGTATAAACTGCCTTCCACAAAATGCTTTTATGTATCCTTGATAATATAGGATAGCTAACTTTAGCTGTTTAAAACAGATGCTTTGTAATTGCACATTTCAAATACCAAACATTTTAAAGAGGCTCTGCTTTTGCATTAAAATTTTGAAATTGACAATGACAATTTTTTCATATACTATTCCATCAGGATGAATAACTTTATTTGTTTCTAACAAAGTATCCCAAAGGACAGATTTTTTACTAAATTCCTGTCATTACCCAGTGATTTAATGTCTAAATAGCATAAAGGTTTAAATAATAAAATATGCGCATTAAAAATGTTAATGATCCTAACAATATTAAAAATTTATCATGTTAATGAGACCTGCCATACCATGATCTACACAGTAAATTGTCATAACAGGTGAAATGCCCATACCATGACCAACCTATAAACAATGAGAATTACCCAGGCATAACAACATATAAACAATGAGAATTACCCAGCCATGACCAACCTATAAACAATGAGAATTACCCAGCCATGACCAACCTATAAACAATGAGAATTACCCAGGCATAACAAAATATAAACAATGAGAATTACCCAGCCATGACCAACCTATAAACATTGAGAATTACCCAGCCATGACCAACATATAAACAATGAGAATTCCCCAGGCATGACTTACGTATAAATTAATGAAAGAGCAGAAGTGGAAGAGCAGACGGACCAAAGCCGTGTTCTCATAACTCCTCACGGGCTGGAGCTCTGGGTCTCCTACGTAAAAGCTCTCAAATTTTCTCTCTTTGTTTATCAGCTGTAGGACATAGTTATAAACACATCACATCAGTTGAAGGACATTGTGATAAAATACATCACATCAGATGTAGGACATTGTGATAAAATACATCACATCAGCTGTAGGACATTGTGATAAAATACATCACATCAGCTGTAGGACATTGTGATAAAATACATCACATCAGCTGTAGGACATTGTGATAAAATACATCACATCAGCTGTAGGACATTGTGATAAAATACATCACATCAGCTGTAGGACATTGTGATAAAATACATCACATCAGATGTAGGACATTGTGTTAAAATACATCACATCAGCTGTAGGACATTGTGATAAAATACATCACATCAGCTGTAGGACATTGTGATAAAATACATCACATCAGCTGTAGGACATTGTGATAAAATACATCATTACTAGCTCAAACCAGTTTTTGAAACCACACCACACACTACGTTTATAAACCAGTTGTAACCACACCACACCTTTTCTAAACCAGTTTTTGAAACCACACCACACCACACCCTACCACTTTTAATAACCAGTGTTTTTAACCACATACTACAAATTTTCTAAACCAGTTGTAACTACACCACACACTACCACTTTTAATAAACCAGTTTTTGAAACCACACCACACACTACCACTTTTAATAAACCAGTTTTTGAAACCACACCACACACTAACACTTTTAATAAACCAGTTTTTGAAACCACACCACACACTACCACTTTTAATAAACCAGTCTATGAGACCACACACTACAACTTTTCTAAACCAGTCTATGAGACCACACACTACAACTTTTCTAAACCAGTCTATGAGACCACACACTCCAACTTTTCTAAACTAGTCTATGAGACCACACACTACCACTTTTAACAAACCAGTCTATGAGACCACACACTACAACTTTTCTAAACCAGTCTATGAGACCACACACTACCACTTTTAATAAACCAGTCTATGAGACCACACACTACAAGTTTTCTAAACCAGTCTATGAGACCACACACTCCAACTTTTCTAAACCAGTCTATGAGACCACACACTACAACTTTTCTAAACCAGTCTATGAGACCACACACTCCAACTTTTCTAAACCAGTCTATGAGACCACACACTACCACTTTTAACAAACCAGTCTATGAGACCACACACTACAAGTTTTCTAAACCAGTCTATGAGACCACACACTACCACTTTTAATAAACCAGTCTATGAGACCACACACTACAACTTTTCTAAACCAGTCTATGAGACCACACACTCCAACTTTTCTAAACCAGTCTATGAGACCACACACTACAACTTTTCTAAACCAGTCTATGAGACCACACACTCCAACTTTTCTAAACCAGCCTATGAGACCACACAACACACTACAACTTTTATAAACCAGTCTATGAGACCACACACTCCAACTTTTCTAAACCAGTCTATGAGACCACACACTACAACTTTTATAAACCAGTCTATGAGACCACACACTCCAACTTTTCTAAACCAGTCTATGAGACCACACACTACAACTTTTCTAAACCAGTCTATGAGACCACACACTCCAACTTTTCTAAACCAGCCTATGAGACCACACAACACACTACAACTTTTATAAACCAGTCTATGAGACCACACACTCCAACTTTTCTAAACCAGTCTATGAGACCACACACTCCAACTTTTATAAACCAGTCTATGAGACCACACCACACCCTACCACTTTTAATAAACCAGTCTATGAGACCACACACTGACCTGTCTGCGACCTAAATCTGTGAGTCTGATCCCCATCTCCGTCTCAATACAGTCTGGGTACCTGACCTCAGCATCAGCCAGGTACATGGATTCATTAGCTATGGATGTGCTCAGGTGGGAGTCAACAGGGGGCTCAGAGTCACACAGTGGGTTAGTTAGCTGAAAGTTGAACAAGTGCTTTATATTCGTTTTTGTTATATAAAAAGTCATTTTATTTTTTTGCAATGTTTGTTCCCAAAAGTGTCACTACTGATCAGCATAAACTGTGTGATTTTAAAAATAAGAAAACAAAAAGAAAGGGTAAATTAAATACGAAACAATACAAAATGAAGTATTTACATATTTTATTTACATGTCCAGTAACATTGAGGAGATATTACACCAAAGTTGAAATATGACAAGGTAATTGTCAAGTTAAATTAAGATACACAAAAAAAAACAGCTTATACAACTGTACAAAACAATGATGATACAACGACAGCACAGAAGTGATGATATAACAGCACCGAAGTGAGGATACAACAACAGCACATAAAGTGATGATACAACAACAGCACATAAAGTGATACAACAACAGCACACAAAACTTGATAATACAACAACAGTATGTGAAGTGATACAACAACAGAACATATAACTTGATAATATAACAACAGCACATTAAGTAATACAACAGCATGTGAAGTAATACAACAACATGTAAAGTGATACAACAAAAGCACATATAACTTGATAATACAACAACAGCACAGAAGTTGACAAAACATCAAGAACAGCACAGAAATTGATGCTACTCACATCAAAAACAGTACAAAAGTTGATGATGGATTGCTCCAAATGCCCAGGCAGCCGTTCGTACTCTGGTGTTGAATAAATGCTCTTGGTCCCGCAGAGACCTAACACCTTAGCGAGGATTCCCTTCTTTTTCTTTGAATTTTTGCTGGACGTAGAGGTCATCAGCTGGGTTCTGATCATGTCCAGGGACTCGAACAACTGCTTGACCACTCGAGACATCTGGACAAAGAATGACCGGCTGTATCAGTGTGTTGAGTACTTTAACTTACAAATCAGTGAAAAAAAAATTAACAAGGAAGGAGCTTGCTTGTTGAATTTACTTTCCACTGATGAAAGTCAGGTACCCATCAAAGCTGGGCAGACTCAATGAGGACAGATGGATAAAATTAAAAACTTCAGGTATGGCTGTAATAAACTATACCATTCAGCCACATACACACTAGTTATGCGGTCGCACTATTCTATCGTTGATATACCAAGCAAATGAATTTGCATTTTAGCTGCTACATTGTTATTTTAAGAAAAAATCTAAATTACACTGCTGTTATAGAATTTGGTTTCAAAATTTAGAGAATTAAAACATTCAATGATGCTTTTTGTTAATTTCATCTTTATTAGGGACTAATGAAAATTTACATTCTACTAGTGCATCACTGAAGGAACAAAATATATGAAAATTGTCATTATACTTCATGTCAAATGTAGAAAAGGCTGAAACTTACAGTAAACTTCATAATATGACTGGACTTACAGTTTTCCTCATACTATGACTGTACCTTACACTATACTTCATAACTAGACTAAAGAAAGACTGCAACTTACACTATACTTCATATCTTCGCTAAAGAAAGACTGCAACTTACACTATACTTCATAACTAGACTCAAAACAGACTGCAACTTACACTATACTTCATATCTTCACTAAAGAAAGACTGCAACTTACACTATACTTCATAACTGGACTAAAGAAAGTTTGAAAATTACACTATACTTCATAGCTTTACTAAAGAAAGACTGAAACTTACACTATACTTTATCACTAGACTTACAACAGACTGCAACTTACACTATACTTCATATCTTCGCTAAAGAAAGACTGCAACTTACACTATACTTCATAACTGGACTAAAGAAAGACTGAAACTTAAACTATACTTCATAACTAGACTTAAAACAGACTGCAACTTACACTATACTTCATATCTTCGCTAAAGAAAGACTGAAAATTACACTATACTTCATAACTAGACTTAAAATAGACTGCAACTTACACTATACTTCATATCTTCACTAAAGAAAGACTGGTACTGAAAGTTGGGCCCCTCCAGGTCCAACATCTGTGAGGGTAGAGTGTGTGACATCAGCATGCTGTTGGTGATGTAGCTGTTACCCAGGTCGTTGTGGTGGGGAATGTTGCCAAACAGCTCTAGCTCAGCTGAGATTGACAGTTAGAGGAAATTGTTTCAAATGTTTACGAATAATAAATTTAAGAGCATGGGTGGGTGATGAAAAAAAAAGGTAAATAAAATCCAAGATAGCCGCCATCACCATGAAATTTTCTGCCATTTTTTTTATTTTTAGACTTAACTCTTTGAGTCATAACCATTTGCTAAATATTTAGAAATAAGCATTTTGGTTATTTTGGTTTTCATCACCCGCCCATGCCCTTAAAAGTAACTAATAGTTTTCGAGTATCAACTTGTTAAGTGCTTAAGAAAACTGTGTTTAAGAATATCAACTTTTAAACTTTAAATTGTTTTAAATTTTTAAATTTAGGCCTGTATAAAAATATATTTATTAATTAGAACTTGGTTAGAATTTCTTTTAAAGAGCTGTGACATTTAACACTTTATTTAACTAGTTGAATTTTGTTTTATTCTTTAACTTGCTATGTGCTTGACAATTGCTAGTTAGTAAAAGTATGTCACTACTACTGCCCTATGGAGAGCATCATTACATCACGTTTTCTTCCAGTTTTTTTTTAACATTACAAATTCCTTAAAAAAAGGTTAAATCTTTGGTTATCCCTTCCCCATTTTTAAAAATAAAAATTCCTGAAATTCCTAAGTATAGCGTTCATTTTGTTTTATTAAAAAAAATAAACTTTCCAAACACCCAACATTAAACATTTTAAGTAAGATAGTTAGATAAGTAAACAAGGAATTTAAAACTAATGATCTATGTAGTCTCACCTTTATAAATCAATTTAGTTAAATTAGGAAGACTCAATATCTGTAAACAAAAAAAAAACATAAAACATGCTATTAAAAGAAAATAAACATGCTTTTGTCACAACATGAAATGGTGGCTTGGATAGGAATATCTTCTGGTCTTTATAAACCAAATCCAATACTTTAACTGAATACATTATATCAACCATCTTACCCTAGGCACCCAACACAGATTACATGATGTCAACCATCTTACCCTAGACACCCCCACACATTACATGATGTCAACCATCTTACCCTAGACACCCCACACACAGATTACATGTCAATGATCTAACCCTAGACACCCAACACACATTACATGATGTCAACCATCTTACCCTAGACACCCAACACACAGATTACATGTCAATGATCTAACCCTAGACACCCAACACACATTACATGATGTCAACCATCTTACCCTAGACACCCAACACACAGATTACATGTCAATGATCTAACCCTAGACACCCAACACACATTACATGATGTCAACCATCTTACCCTAGACACCCAACACACAGATTACATGTCAATGATCTAACCCTAGACACCCAACACACATTACATGATGTCAACCATCTTACCCTAGACACCCCACACACAGATTACATGTCAATGATCTAACCCTAGACACCCAACACACATTACATGATGTCAACCATCTTACCCTAGACAACCCACACACATAACATGTCAACCATCTTAACCTAGACACCCCTCACATATATGTCAACCATCTTACCCTAGACAACCCACACACATAACATGTCAACCATCTTACCCTAGACAACCCACACACATAACATGTCAACCATCTTAACCTAGACACCCCTCACATATATGTCAACCATCTTACCCTAGACAACCCACACACATAACATGTCAACCATCTTACCCTAGACACCCCTCACATATATGTCAACCATCTTACCCTAGACAACCCACACACATAACATGTCAACCATCTTACCCTAGACACCCAACACACACATAACATGTCAACCATCTTACCCTAGACACCCAACACACACATAACATGTCAACCATCTTACCCTAAACACCCAACACACACATAACATGTCAACCATCTTACCCTAGACACCCAACACACATAACATGTCAACCATCTTACCCTAGACACCCAACACACACATAACATGTCAACCATCTTACCCTAGACACCCAACACACACATAACATGTCAACCATCTTACCCTAGACACCCAACACACACATAACATGTCAACCATCTTACCCTAGACACCCAACACACACATAACATGTCAACCATCTTACCCTAAACACCCAACACACACATAACATGTCAACCATCTTACCCTAGACACCCCTCACACCCACATTACACAACAACCATCTTACCCTAGACAACCCACACACATTACATGATGTCAACCATCTAACCCTAGACACCTCATGCACAGATTATATTATGTCAACCCTCTTACCTCAAACAACCCACACACATTACATCATACCAACCATCTTACACTAGACACCCCACACACATTACATGTCAACCATCTTACCCTAGACACCCAACACACATAACATGTCAACCATCTTACCCTAGACACCCAACACACACATAACATGTCAACCATCTTACCCTAGACACCCAACACACACATAACATGTCAACCATCTTACCCTAGACACCCCACACACACATAACATGTCAACCATCTTACCCTAGACACCCAACACACACATAACATGTCAACCATCTTACCCTAAACACCCAACACACACATAACATGTCAACCATCTTACCCTAGACACCCAACACACACATAACATGTCAACCATCTTACCCTAGACACCCAACACACACATAACATGTCAACCATCTTACCCTAGACACCCCTCACACCCACATTACACAACAACCATCTTACCCTAGACAACCCACACACATTACATGATGTCAACCATCTAACCCTAGACACCTCATGCACAGATTATATTATGTCAACCCTCTTACTTCAAACAACCCACACACATTACATCATACCAACCATCTTACACTAGACACCCCACACACATTACATGTCAACCATCTTACCCTAGACACCCCCACACATAACATGTCAACCATCTTACCCTAGACACCCAACACACACATAACATGTCAACCATCTTAACCTAGACACCCAACACACACATAACATGTCAACCATCTTACCCTAGACACCCCTCACACACATTACATGTCAACCATCTTACCCTAGACCCAGATTACATGTCAACCATCTTACCCTAGACCCAGATTACATGTCAACCATCTTACCCTAGACCCAGATTACATGTCAACCATCTTACCCTAGACCCAGATTAAATGTCAACCATCTTACCCTAGACCCAGATTACATGTCAACCATATTACCCTAGACACCCCTCACTCACATTACATGTCAACCATCTTACCCTAGACACCCTGTACACCATATAGGCACTGTACGGAGATGACAAGTCCATCCTGAAGACACGCGGGATAAAATCAGACAGCAGTGCTGTATAAAACAACAAATTCTCTTCCACAAAGCGCTCCCTGGAAAAAAAAACAACACATCTAGTAATAAGAGAATTTACATCACAAGATTTGAAACCGAAACCTTACCCAAGACCCAACCCAAATATTGATGGAGTTGCCACGGCAACAGTTTTGCTTCAACCAGACACTTGCTTAAGGGGAGTTGTATTAAGTAAAAAAAATTATGAAAAACTGATCAAGCTGCAAAAAATTTTAAAAGGAGTTTTCGTATCTGAGTCACATCAAAGATTATAACAGCCCAAGTCTAATTTATCAATGGCTATTTATTTCTACTTTTGTGTTTGCTTTGATGCCTCATGTAGAGTTCAGATGTAACATTTAATATAACATGGTTAGTTTTTGTTAATAGAATTGAAAAATCCAAAACACCTTCCCTGGAAATGGACTAACGGGTAGATTACAATCTAGAACTAACAACCAGCAATAATTAAAAACAAGCATTGATTTCAAGTCAACATTTACTTTTAAATTAGAGGGTGTGGCCTAGCTGTAGGGAGTTAGACTGCTAACCCGAAAGTCTCGAGTTCAAATCCGGGTGCAAGTTAGTAGAACATCCCTTAGTCTACACAGCTCTGATGGGCACTATCCCTTCATATACCAAGGTCTCTGAAACATATGAACTCTACTTCATCTGCCCCATGGGTCTTGGGCACAAACGGGAAAAGATGATTTCTCCATAACCTGACACTTGTAAAACAAGAAGAAACATTTGGGCTAGTTACCATCTGTTTTCCACAAATTTGACCTGCTCTGATGACTCTGGGTGTTGGACTGCAATGATCACTCCTTTAGCAAAGTTCTTGTATCGCCAGGGCTGTATGTAGCTCAGCCATGTCTCAAGGACCTGGGCAAACATGGGCATGGGGGTTAGTGCAGGGTGTGTGGTCAGTGTGGTGAGTAGGATGGTATTGTATGGTCAGTTAAGTGGTGTGGTGAGTAGGATGGTGTTGTATGGTCAGTTAGGTAGTGTGGTGAGTAGGATGGTGTTGTATGGTCAGTTAGTGTGGTGAGTAGGATGGTGTTGTATGGTCAGTTAGCAGGTGTGGTGAGTAGGATGGTGTTGTATGGTCAGTTAGCAGGTGTGGTGAGTAGGATGGTGTTGTATGGTCAGTTAGCAGGTGTGGTGAGTAGGATGGTGTTGTATGGTCAGTTAGGTGGTGTGGTGAGTAGGATGGTGTTGTATGGTCAGTTAGGTAGTGTGGTGAGTAGGATGGTGTTGTATGGTCAGTTAGTGTGGTGAGTAGGATGGTGTTGTATGGTCAGTTAGCAGGTGTGGTGAGTAGGATGGTGTTGTATGGTCAGTTAGCAGGTGTGGTGAGTAGGATGGTGTTGTATGGTCAGTTAGCAGGTGTGGTGAGTAGGATGGTGTTGTATGGTCAGTTAGGTGGTGTGGTGAGTAGGATGGTGTTGTATGGTCAGTTAGTGTGGTGAGTAGGATGGTGTTGTATGGTCAGTTAGGTAGTGTGGTGAGTAGGATGGTGTTGTATGGTCAGTTAGGTAGTGTGGTGAGTAGGATGGTGTTGTATGGTCAGTTAGGTAGTGTGGTGAGTAGGATGGTGTTGTATGGTCAGTTAGGTGGTGTGGTGAGTAGGATGGTGTATGGTCAGTTAGGTGGTGTGGTGAGTAGGATGGCATTGTATGGTCAGTTAGGTAGTGTGGTGAGTAGGATGGTGTTGTATGGTCAGTTAGGTGGAGTGGTGAGTGGGGTAGTGTGGGATGAATGAGGTGGAATGTTCAGCAGAGTACGGTGGTGTCTGGGGTTGTGTTGTGTTATGTTTAGTGGGGAAGTGTGGTATACGATGTGTTATGTTCAGTGGATTGGTGTGGTGTCTGGGGTTGTGTTGTGGTATATTCAGTGGAGAAGTATGGTGTGTGCAGTGTTAGGTTCAGTGAGGAGGTGTGATGTGTGGGGTAGTTTGGTGTGGTGTCTGTGATTGTGGGGGTGTTATGTTCAGCGGTGAAGTCAGTGGTGCATAAGACAGTAAAATATACAGATTTTTTTAAAAACCTAATAAGAGTTTGATTTCTTCATCTTTAATGAAATAAGTCCTAATAATTACAAGACAAGTCAATAAGGACAGTTAAGCATTGTAAAAAACCACACATCTTTTACATGCAAGATGGTCACAAAGCTAAATTCAAACTCTGCATTGACCATCAGGCCAAAAAAGTAACTTAGAACAACAGATCTTTCCTTATGTATTGGTTTGATTACAACAGACAGCTTTCAAGAACCTGACAGGAATTAGATATAAGAATGTTAAGTTTTCACAAGCCTAAACAACAGGCAAATGAGACCAGTACTCACCATTCTAAACAGAAATGCTTAGCTGGCCTATATTTATATGAGAGCAGTACTCACCATTCTAAAGCAGGAATCTAGAGGCCACCTGTTGAACCCATGCCTCAAAAAAGTGTAGAGTTTCTTCTGAAGTATGTGGGGAATCACTGATCTGATGAGGCGACAATTAAATAATTACTAGCAGTTTAAAAACTGGAACTACATTACAGTAATATCAGCTGTTTAAAATCTTAAACTAGATCAATAAAATAATGACTAGCAGTTTAAAAACTGGAACTACATTACAGTAATGTCAGCAGTTTAAAATCTAAAAACTAGATCAATAAAATAATGACTAGAGGTTTAAAACTAAAACTAGTGCAATTAAATAATGACTAGTAGTTTAAAAATTAAATGACATTAAAATAATAACCAGCAGTTTAAAGCTAAAACTAGAATAAAATAATGACTAGCAATTTTATATATAAAAACTACAGAATTAAAATAAGGACCAGCAGTTTAAAAACTACAATAATAATGTATTGAAAAAGAGTTATATATCAGTTGTTATGCAGCGTAGGTAGTGAGAAAAATTTAGGGACAAACAAATTCTGGTCTCAGAGAGTTAAAATAATAACCTGCAGTTTAAAATTTTTTAAAGTACACTACACAAAAATCAAAATGTTTTACTACTAAGTTAGCTCTCACTAATATGTTTAATACTTAGTTGGGCTACACTGACTAAGCCAATAAACCTTAGCAATATTTTTCTCTTTGATTTTCAATTCAAAATCTAAAACAAAGTCAGACCATCAATTGAAGTTACTGCTACCTTTTGAACTGGTCAAGGGGAGAGTGAACAGTTTGTTGGTAAGGGGAGGTAATAATCGATGTTGCACTATTTGCAAAGTAATGCAAATATTTGACCAGTAGTCTAACCATTTTGACATGATTCATAGTGGGCAGGAAATGTTCCTGAAAAATAAAACAAAAATAATTTAGTTTACAAAATCTATTGAATTAATTATGTTTGATAAGTGGTGCTTAAATTCTAATTTATTACCACGAATGTAATCACCTTCAAATGTTAATTATAAACTATTTCTAATACAGTTACAAGTTACTTACAAACCTTTTTTGTAAACTGGTAATGAAAAATAAAAAACTTTTGATAAAATTATGCACCCGTGTTCTATTTGTCACAAAGTGCAACCAGCCTCAAATTTGAGGTATTTCTTTTAGTCAAAATAAAATAACTAAAATCTAGCAATAAGACTCAATATATGCTTTAAAGGAAGTTATGGATGCCAATGCAGGTCAAATAAATATTAAAATATCTAACTACATAACATACATAAAATGCATATATATATATATATATATATATATATATATATATATATATATATATATATATATATATATATAGCCTATATATATATATATCTATATATATATATATAGCCTATATATATATCTATATATCTATATATATATATATATATATATATAGCCTATATATATATATATATATATATATATATATAGCCTATCTATATATCTATATATTATATATATATATATATATATATATATATATATATATATATATATATATATATATATATATATATATATATATATATATATATATATATACACACATGCTAATTGTTAAAGATGTTGATAGCAAAGTATTTCTCCCATCACAGAATAAACTGTAATTGTAAACCAAATATTTTAAGATCAAAGCAAAGCTGACCATTTTAGGGACATGCACCTTGATGTAAAAGGTTATATAGAAACAAGAACTGGATATTACATTTAAAAAAAAAGATTTTAGAGTTTCAAAACGGTTTTCAGATTAAAAATGAAGAGGAAAAAAAAACCTAGCCGAAGAGTACCAGTATATCTAGCTTAAGGACTGGTCAAAAAGGATACAAAAATAAGACAATTTTTAAAAGGATAGTAATATGTAAGAACCTAGCCAGACCTAAACAAAATACAGAATACACATCTTTGTTCTACGATACCATACAGCATAGATAATTTAACAAAATAAAGAAAAAAGAAAAACTATGTATTACAAATCAGTACAAACTTTTAATATTAGAATCTGTTCTTGATTTAGTTTGTAAAGAGTAACTGATTGTAAATGAAACACAAAAAAAAAAGATTTATTACAATATTATGCATTACACTTTTAGGATAGAATCCAAAATTAGAAACCATTCATGAAACGATGCATTGATTAACTGATTAGTTAATTTTTAAAAAGTTTAGTATTCAGGCTGTTTTATTTATGTGTTGAGAGAAGCACTACAGAAATGAACAGAAATATGAATTTAATAATTATTTAACTAATATAAAATATCTTTATTTTTAAAAAAAAATGGCATTCTGGTTATTTGGTTTTCAACAAAATTGAAACAAAACAAAATACTACACAAGTAAGCACTGTTCCATTAATAAACCAAACGGTATGTTGAAAATGCAAAACTAAATAAACCTGGCCATAAAACTTGGAAGACAATGCAGAGGGCTGAGAGTATATGCAAATCTCCACCAATACTTACAAGTATAGACTGAAATGGATCTCTATAAAACATATCTGGAACCTTAACGAATGAATTAAAAAATGGTCATTTCTAGTATGAAATTACCATGTAACTGTAAGAAATCTATGTACATGAGTTATTATTTTAATTTAAACATGAAGATATTGTTTAACATAAATCAATGCAAAAAGTACTATAACTGTGCTTGGATTACAAGATTTGTCTGCTGTGAACATATCAGTGTCAGAATTTAAAATTTATTGTGTTCATGTGCAATAGGCCAGAATACTTTTTAACGTTTACTAATGATAAAATTAACTCTAGACAGAGAGTTAAAGCCACTAAAATATGGTGTATAAAACATATGTTACTGTATTTGGGGCTTTTTGTCTACAAACTTTAACCCTGTCATTTAACAGAGCATAATATCTATAATAATAGTTTCGCTGTCTGTCTGACAAGAACGCTCTTGTCTGACAAGAACGCTCTGTCAATATAATAATAGTTTCGCTGTCTGTCTGACAAGAACGCTCTGTCTGACAAGAACGCTCTAGAGAAAACACAAGCAATTTAAAAACATGCATAGTATTTCGAAAAACGAAGTATGACGTCGACACATTTAGCACAGAGTAGAAAATAATCTCAAGGCGGAAAGTGCACACAGTAATATAATGACGTCATTGATTATCGCGTAAACATTGAATAAAAAGGAAATGTTGTCTAATCTAAATGGTTTGCGTGAAGAGTTTCTTGCATACAATTCTTCGGGTAGGGGCGAAGCCCCCCCCCCACCTTCGGCTAAAGAACGTCTGAGCCCCCCCCCCCCCCCCCCTCCCCAACTCAAAAGAAATTTCCTCATCGATACTCTATAATAAAATTACCGCCTAATTAATGTGTCTAATCTAAAAAGTGGTTTTCTTGCAATTTCTTTAATGAAATTCTTTGGGTAGTGGCTAAGCGCGACACCAGTGTTTCTTTCAGACTTTTTCCTCCCCGGAGAGGGGTGGGGGTAATTGAAATTTTCGGGGGCGGGGGTAGAATTTTCGGGAAGGGGGGCGGACACTGGAAAAAGTATATAATTATATTTCGTTGAATGGGACGGTAGACATGATTTTTTTGGGAGTGGGGGGTGGGGGTAGGGGGTGGGGGGGGGGGGGGGGGGGGGGGGGGGTTGGGGGTGGTGTGTGTGTGGGGGGGGTGGTGTGTGTGGGGGGTGGGGTGGGGTGGTTTCCTCATCGATACTCTATAATAAAATTACCGCCTAATTAATGTGTCTAATCTAAAAAGTGGTTTTCTCGCAATTTCTTTAATGCAATTCTTCGCGTAGTGGCTAAGCTCGACACCAGTGTTTCTTTCAGACTTTTTCCTCCCCGGAGAGGGGTGGGGGGTACTTGAAATTTTCGAGGGCCGGGGGTAGAATTTTCGGGGAGGGGGCGGACACTGGAAAAAGTATATAATTATATTTCGTTGAATGGGACGGTAGACATGTTTTTTTGGGGGTGGGGGGGGTGGTGTGTGGGGTGGGTGGGGGTGGGAGGGGTGGGGGTGGGGCGTGGTGTGTGTGGGGGGTGGGTTGGTTTTAGTTTAGAGAAAAGAGACAGCACTATCAACCTAGCGCCCGGTGTATCCTTCCTCAACGGGCCATTTTTCTCGTTTAAATAATAAGTTCAGATTTTTAAAATAGATAACTGGCATCAACAATAATAGAGTCAACAAAACTTCATAAAATCAAGAAATAACAGAAACTAACAGAAAACACGGTTGAAAAATTTTTCAATCAGAAAACATATAGGTCACAAAAACTATCTTAGTTATCTACCTGGAAACAAAACTAAACATTGCAATCACCTAAACCTAGTTTCTACATTTCAAACATATTCTTGTAAGAATAAGGACAAGTCTCAAAGGAAAAAATCACAACTTTTGGGGAAATGTATGCTTAATATTAAGCATCAAATAGCCCCCCCCCCCCTCCCCCATATCATTATTTTAAACTATAATGTCAACAGAAACGTTAAATATTGGGTGAAAATGTGTATTTTGTATTAATACCAATCCAACGAGCAAATTTGTCACTTAATAATCAATGTATTTTTTTAAAATCTTTTGTGAACATTTTTTAAACTGAATCATGACTATTTCAATTACAAAATATTTGTTTTGTGTTAAATTTAATTTATGAACAATTACAATGAATAATTACATCAAAACATCATCAAATCTAATTATAATAATGAAATATTCACAAAATTGTATACTCATGCCAGTTCCATAAGACATTTATTCTGCAATAGTCTAACATGAAAATAAAAGATTAACATTCAAAAAGTAAAATGTTTTTTTCTTACCTGAAATCCACTAGAATAAGCGTGCGTTTCATTTGAATTTAATGAGTTTTGATTCAGCCAAAACTCAGTTAGGACCTGAAACATATATGGAATCATCAAACACCATTATTACAAAACGCATTGTCTCTTACACAAAACTAGTAGATATCTATGTGTTATCTGTATTGTACTAATCAATGTATTATATATATTTAGAAATAGTTTCTCTATAATTGATATAACTATTTTTTACAGAATGCATTTTTAGTCAAGGGAAAAAATACTTTCAACATTCAAATCCAAATAAACAGATAGGCCTACAGATTAAAAAATATTGTATTTTTCTACATTAAATAAAGTACCAATGATCTTCTAACTTGTTAGTATTGCATTATAAAATACATAAAAATTAATCTTACTACTGGATCACTTAAAAATTAAATGGTACTAAAAATAAAAATATGTTAACACACAAAAATAGAGAAATTAAAATGAATCTAAAACTAAAACCTGTAAAAGTGTTTCCGAGCGCCAGATTTCAGTTTCCGCTTGATCATACACTGGCATGCTCTGCATGTGCTGTTTCTGGGCATTGATAAAACTGGTCTTAAACAAGCTTCTGTTATTGTTACCAGCATTCAAATATGGGGCCTGTCCAGTGCTGTAGCTGTATGGACGTCTGAGGAAATAAGACCATTTGACATTTTAAAATAAAATACACTGATTTAATTATTATTCTTCAAATACTGTTAAATAAAGAAATTTGATAAAATATTTTTCTTAATAAGTATTTTTTTAAAGTTTTTCAGTATAGATTTACAATTTTTAATTTAATTTAATCTAATCTATCAATTCATACATCGTTAAATTAAATTAAATTAAATTAAATTAAATTAAATTAAATTAAATTAAATTAAATTAAATTAAATTAAATTAAATTAAATTAAATTAAATTAAATTAAATTAAATTAAATTAAATATTCACAGACTGTGTACGATGGATATGAAAACTTCCCACAAACCCTTGTGTCTGTGTGATGATAGGTGGCCTCCCAGTGGAACTGCTGTGTGGTATGCTGGGAAGGGAGTTCTTGTCACACGGGAAAAAGTAGATCAACAAACTGTCGATGATGGTGGGATAAATATACTCATAGAGATCACTCCAGCTTTGATTTCTGGCACGCCACACTGGACTCACCAATGCAAAAGCAAGGTGAAAGATATAAAATTCAAACGCATGTGCATGAAGTCAAGGATACAACAGTCAGAACAAGCTAAGTAATTATGAAGACATATCTATAGATTTAAAAGAAATTATCAATAATATGTACTTGAGCACAAAAACAAATGTGGGTAATCTTTTTCTTATTGTTTTTCTTATTAATAATTATCAAAGTTAAAACTAATGCTGCACAAAATTTTGAGATTTTTAACTTTCTAAACTACACTAATTAAGATAATTTCTATAATCAGCATCTTTTTTTTTTTTTTTTTTTAAAAGGATATTTAACACAAGTACAGCAGGCCTGAAGTTCTGTGTCTGTAGTTTGTTAGCATAGAAGGAAGGGATGGCACCACTTTCAATCATTTGCCTAGCAGGAGCCTGGGAACAGATTGAATTCAATGAACACTTCATTCAGTGGGCAAGTGCTGTCTAAATTTCTCTGGTTCACAACAGGGGATTGGTAGGTAGTGAGAGCGTAAGGCAAAACATAGCAGTCTTTCAATAGCTTCATGCTAAATTTTTTGTGGTAATCTTAATAGGCGCTAGAATTCATGATTAGAATAGAAAGTACTAGGGATCGGACACTGATAATATGTTGATATTTGTTTTTGAGGCTGTAGCGTTTCTCATCCAGTATTGATAGACAACTGAGTTAAAGCAGTTGGGTACTGTACTGTCTACACAACCTCCTAAAATATCTTGCCAAAGACACAGATGAATTCTACTTTATTTAGTCTATTTCAAATGGATATTTTGTTTTTATGATAAAAAGTTATGACATCATCTGTACATCAAAAAATAAAATGTTAGTGAACAGAGCATTAAAATAAAACATGGGCATTAGTATACTACTGTGAAAATAGTAAACAATGTTTCACAAGCTAAAGAGTGAAAATTTATGACAACTTACTGGTATGTACTTCAATGGGAACTCATACAGTGCAGAAGAGTCATTGTGCAAACTGTTAACAACTTTCATCATAGGACCTTCCGGAGCCAAAAGTGCTCGTACGCAATCAAACAGTTCTGATTGGTAATGTCGATGTATTTTGTCCAGCTGCCATCCCTGATTCTGGTCTCGTTCAAAATCAAATATCTCATGGACAATGAAAGAAAAGGAGGATTTTAATTCCTGTTGAGAAGAGAAATGAAAAATAAATGTTTACAGTAATTTTTTTATATAGGCTTAAACAAAGAAATTTTATATTAAATAAACTATAAGAAATGGTGCTAAATCACAAGTTAATGTTTAATAATTACCCTCCCCTCTTTCAGAATACATATTAGACCCATACTTATATACATCACTGCTAACCCTTTCCATATCCCTTATTTATCTCAAATGATTGAGGGGGGAAAGGGTATTGTCCTACCATTAATGTTACAAGCAGTTAGGGTTAGGTTTATCCATTACCTTAATACTTGTACCACGCAGAATTTCATCCACCAACTGTACTTTATGTAGCAATGGTTTGCTTTGTGCAGCATTGATGTGCTCCTAAGATAGATAAACAAGTTGTCAGAAATCAAGTTTTAAATAGCTTTAAACAGACATTTCAGTACAAAATCCTCGTTTAAAAATGCAACAGAGGTGCAATTAACATAGATTAAAAGGACAATCTTCACAGCTGACTTGAATATTTATTTGTTTTAAATTTAATGCAACATTTAAATGTCACATGTCATTGCATTTTTTTTACTGTCTTACTAATCTATTCAATATGGCTATTCTCAGATTTTAATTATTGTACAAAGGCCTATCTATACTATAATCTTTAGGCATAAATAAAATACACTATTTTTTCTACTGAAATTGTCTCAAAATTATATAAAAGGCCCATTAAACATTTTTTTAAAACATGTTAATGAATGCTATTAAAATAACTATGGTTATAAAAATCAGTATGATTTTTGTTGGACTTAACTTAAGATTGGATGTAGCACCCCCCCCCCCCCCCCATTTAAAATTTAATGTTTCTGGTATTTTCTGTAACTAAACAAATTTCTTTTAAAAATAATTTGGTTGTTTACATTTTATCACAGAAACTGCAAACAAAAATGGCTGAACAGGTCACTGTTATGTGGTTTAAAATAAAAAATTGTAAGCCTATCGGTAAAATTTTGAGTACAAACTACTATGAGTTTTTATAATTAATTTATATATAATCATAGGCATAATCAACAATTGTCTTACTAAAGTGAAACTTCTGGTTATAACTTAGACTTGATGACAATAAATAGAAATGTAGCCTTAAACTAAAAAAATTATTTTCACGTCCACTTGGTTTGCAACTTTTATAACAATGATTCTAACATATTAAATTTCTAATTATCTTTTTACGCCGGCTAGATGGTAAAATCGAATAAAAAATTGATTTTTAAATTTTATCCATCTCAACAATAATGATGGAAAGATTCTCATTGATGGCTATTTAGAATTTACCTAAGCCTAATTATTAGGCTTAGGTAAATTCTAAATGATGAAAATTTCATAATGATTTATTTTTATAAAAATGTATTAATATTAGCTAGCACTAGTAAACTAAGCCAATTTAGCATATTTTAACTTTCTGTGCAAAGTCATTATTACTGAAAAAAATTCTAAAGTCAGATCAGACTGTGGCACCCTACACTGAAGGAAAAAATATTTGACCTGTGACTTTCATTAATTAAAACAGTATTTACTTATTTTTTTTTTTTTATTATTTGTAAACATGTGCTTAATCTTACCACTTACCCAAATAAGTAATAAAAATTTGAAAATTAATTTTAATTACTGTTGTTAAGTGAGATGAACAGCTTAATAAAAACATGCTTTCTTGAGGGGGTGTGACCAGGGTGTGGCACATCGCAATTAGAACTTTATATTTTTGTGTTTTATGACTATGTTTGTACACAATTAGCATGCTATGCTTTTGTAAACGATCATCAATGAATAAAGCGTAAACATTCTATTTTTAGGTATGAAATTAAAAAACAGTCATAAATCTAGCCAAATGATTGGATTCTTGCGCTGCACACATTTTCCAGCGCCTCATTTTCACCAAACAAGATTATAATAAAATGGCATTATTGAGTGGTGATCGTTTTCCCACGAACACATCTCATAAACCCTATAAATTATTACCAGTTAATTGTAATGTGTGTAAAATTGAAGCTTTCAAGTTTAATCCCCACATAGTTTGGTTTGATATAGAAGCGTTATTTTAGAGTTATTTGATTTGAAAGACAAGAATACATTGAGCTATTTTCACTTAGGCGCCGCTTGCGAGGACAAACAAAGAAATTAGGTCAAAAGTAGATCTGACTATTCTTAAATAGTAGTATTTCTCACTAGCCCGGGGGCGTGGCCGGTTGCTAACAACAATATGGCGTACGGATCGGATGCATGACTTCCGACGATTTTTCGTCTTAGTTACAGAGACCTTCTTAGAATTACTTTTAAAAATGTTTATCACGAGTAAAATGGCGGGTTTTCACGTTATAAAAACATGCTATAGGTGGCAAGGCTAAATATGCCAGAAAAGCATTTTAAAATTTGCTTTGGAGAATGAAGGCTAAATTTAAAAGTCGGTCTCATTAAAATTAATAGAACTTCTAAAATATCAGCCCGGAGGTCACAAAAATGAATTGGAGGTTGTAGAATTATTAGTTTTATCATTATATGAAGAAATAAATCAAATATTGCATGCACTTTTTAAAATAAGACACGACTTTTGAATGACAACCAAATTTATTTATTTTTTTAAACCACGTGACCGCTATTTGATGATCACTAGTGGGGAACTCTGGGTACATGGCCACTTAAAAAGTCTAACTTATTTGTGGTTTTCTTTACGTTCAAGCTTAAGAAGAGTTGTCATGGAGAGGTGTGTTGGCCATGGCAGTGAGTGTCAATAAATATTAAATTAAGTAATTTAGTTTAAAATGAACTAAAAACTTCAAAATTAGTGCCTAATGGATTAAATATGGATGTCTATCATTCAGTAGTCATGTTTAATTTGAAATTTGGGTAAATTCTAGATTTAGTAAGAAAAACTATTAAATAGCAGACTTAAATAGAAACGGATAGTTCCGATTTCTAAAATTAACAATGGAATCGTAATCATTAGCTTTAGCCTTTATCCCTCTACCGTTTAGTGAAAGCGAAACTGGTCGCCATTTTAGTAAGCGCATGAGCCGTGAGATGCCACGAAAATGACAAACCCGGAAGCGTTGAATCAAACTGCCAACTTAGAATTAGAATCAAGAATCAGCCTTTTAATTTTTTTATGTGCAGCGTCATGAAAAATTGAAAAAGAAAATGATTTGTGATTGTGCTTGGAAATCTTGATGGAAGGAATGCCCATCTGCCTAGAAACAGTTTTTTTCAATTTTACTGTACTTTAAAAAAAAATTAATGAATTTCAGTTACCTGCCACACTACAATACAAGCTACAGTCACCCCCCTCCCCCTGCCTGTGAGTGTGACCTGACTAGAGAGCCGGCACTGTAGAATTAGTGTTGGCAAACAGTTTTTAGATGTAGAGACCACAAGTGACATTTACTAATTATCTTACGTTATAGATATCGTAATACCATAAATAGTATTATTATTAATAAAATTAAGTGAAAGAAATGAGTCTATTAATTAAATTGGAAAAACAACATACGATAACTGTGTTGTAAGCCGCCATGTTGTTTAATATAGAAAAATCCAACTTTTGTATTCACCGCGCAAAAAGAGTTGACAATTTTTTTTTCGCACTTTTAATAGAAACGGCGATGTACGGTTTTTTTTTGTACGTAAAATTTCTTTACTAACTAAACATTAATTATTATTGATCCGCTAGAGGGAAAAAGGTAAACAATTATAGAGTATTGGTCAAATTGTTTAAAAAAATGTCATTTGTTGTAGGCATTACGAATTGGTAAAATGATAGTGCCCGAATCGATTGATTTTTATAAAGCAGTCATCTGTAGTCTGCTAACAGTAGCCATTAGAGATTTTTTTTAATGTATTAATCTCATTCCTGAGGTTTAGCCTTTTTAAATCTCATCTATATATATAATATCTTCTCAGAGACGATAGAAAACACCAAGCTGTAAGCGCGCTCCCTACCACCCCCACATGGTCTGGTGAGCTGTGGTTCACGCTAAATGTTTACAATCTTAGAGCCGGATAATTTAGTTTGAAACGATTTTAAACTTAGGGTAGGTAACTAAGAGCAGTTTACTTTTACGGGGGGTGGGGGGGGGGGGGGTTATCGTCCTTAACGAGCTACTGATAGTGTTTTAAAGCAAATATTTTCAGTGGCAGCGTTGGTACTGTCGAATTCAAAAATTATGAATTACTGAAAAGTAGAAAATAAAACAACTAAATAGCGGCATGTGATATGCCGCGGGTCGGTTCGTTTTTTTTTATTTTGTTAATGGACTGTCATTTTATGAAGATAAAACAGGTAATTTTTTTCAATCACATAGATAATCTTCTAATGGTCTTGATGGCAATCATTACTCAATAGATTGATGTTGTGAATCATTCTTCTCACTTACACTAGTCCACCACAGGAATAATTAATGTCATGAAAACATACATGCACTGAAGATTGTGTTTCTTTCAGGCATCTCTTCAGGGGGGTGGGGAAGGCTGGCCCCTTAAAACACATCTACACCCACCTCAGACAAAACAATTTGAAATAAATACTGGATTTTAAAACCGTAATGAGTTGTATGGCGAGTGTAAAATAAAATTTTTTTTTGAGTTCTTGGAGTTTCCTTTCTTTTAATTTTATATTTTTTTACAGCAGGCTTTTCAAATGAAAAATTTCATTGTTATCACCAAGCATAGAAAATATTAAACACATAAAAAAACAAGACACAGAAACCAACACAAAATCCACTGGTCAAATGTCCACTTCTGGATCTTTGCCATGAATTTTTACTAGATAAAAAAAATATAAAAATAAAACAACAAGGAATCTAGAGTACATATTCCAAAATTTATTACACATTAGCTACTTTACATGCAGATTTAGGTCAAATATTCTAGAAAAATATATACACACAATTTCCCTCAATGAGAGAATACACAAAATAGTGTATTTTGACCATGAGATTGGAAATCAAAATCAATCACAGTTAACATCCCTAATTACTAATACAACTTCATAAAGCTGTTTAGTTTTTTTCCCTCAAATACTGAATAGTTTAAAAATTAAAGCCTAAAAATACATTTATTGTTGGCAAGTATAAAAAATGGACATTGATGTTAAATTGTTAAACAAAAAAAATTACTTGATTAATTTATAAAGTTTAAAAGAAGTAAAATAATGTATGAGATAGTCCATCTGTTGCTAACTATTATTGACAAGAAGTACACATGTGTAGACAGAAATACAAACACACTAAAGCTTAGGGGGGGGGGGATGCTAAGTAAAAACTTGAGATATGTTATACAAGCTAAGTTGTGACTTTATTATTATGGCATGGAGTTTAACCCTTACTTTTCATAACAGCCAACCTTCAACAGAACTGTAAACAGTACCAAAAAAAAAAAATTTCATGTTTTCATTTCTCATCAAATTACAACCTTCGAAGTTCTTTCTCTTCAAATGATGCTGGTGAATGACTTCCTACTAGACACATAACAGGTGTAAAAAGTCTAAGAATTGTCTGTGTAAGTTGAAATAAAAAGTAAACATTCAGTAGCGTGGTTTCTTAGTATGCATGGTTGGCCACAAAGAGAGATTCGCCAGTAGCAGCACCATCACCACCACCTTGGTACTGACCCACAGCAGCAGCACCGTTAGCCTACAGAGGAGATAAATAAATCAATAATTTCAGAGACAAATTTTATAATGACAGCCACATTTTTTTTTTATTTTAAAAACATTGGAAATCCTGACTAAAAATTTACTATGTATATTTAAATAGATCCTGCAAGTGATTGTTCTATATAGAACATAAAGTGTTTAATAACACACTGCTAAACTGATAAATAGCATTTCAAATATACCAGTAGTCCTATAAACATGAATGTTTTTTTTTACTATTTTAATCACAGAAATTTAGAAAGGAAATTTTTTTAAAATTTCAAATAAACAGAAAATTAAAACAAGATAGAGAATTAAACACTTACCCTAGCACGTTTCAACAATTCTTCCTGTCCAGCTTTGAAGCCACTGTCTGTTCCAGCCCAAGCCTTCAACACACTAGCCTGCAATGCACGGCCGTATGAGAAAGTGAGTGGCCAGGGTTTGCGTCCAGCAAACTGGTTAATAGCATTTAAGTTGATTGTTGCATCTTCTTCTGACTGACCACCAGAAAGGAAAGTTATACCTAGAAAGTAAGTTTATACAAGTTATAACCAGAGGTAAATAGTAAATACTGAAACAGTAATGTAACTTGTGAACTGTTTAGCTAGCATGTTTCTTGGTATTAAAATTTTGTATAATTATTCCGTTTAATCTAAAACTACTATCTAATTTGCCTTTCTTTTTCAACTCTTATTGTTTTCTTTTTTTTTTTTTAAATTACACTTCTTTCAAACTGTTACCAATAATAGTTGTATTTTTCAATTTCTTTGTATGAAGTATTTTTTATCATTCTTGATACTACGTTAGTGTATTTTAAATTATCAAAATAGCATTACAAATTGCAGCATACAAAGTCAGTTAAAGATGAGATACCAGTTGTTAATGTATGTTACAGCCCAGCAATACACATTGGTAACTGGATGAGACTCCCAACTTTGGCAAATCTATTTATACATTTATATAGGATACAAGAGCTGACTGGGTTGTTTCTCACTTCAGACTAGCCACAGTGACCAACTAAGGTAACATTCAAGTGCTAGTATTTAAGGTCAACAGAGTACCCACCAGTAACAGCAGCTGGCACAGTCCTGTTGAGAGCAGTCACAGTTGCCCTAGCAATGTCTTCAGACGTGTATTTCTTAGTGCAGCCCTGGCCGGCTGTCACCATGTTGGGTTTCAACAGAGTACCCTCCAAGAAGATGTTGTGGTCAGCCAGAGCCTTGTAAGTGAATGCAAGGACCTAAGAGAAACACACAGTTCATGGTTACAGTACTAAAATGAATATATTTCTTATCATAGCTTTAATCAGCCAACTCAAATTAAAACTTAAAAAAAATAATAATTTTCAATTAGATGCCAGGAATAAAAAAATATACCAACCTGTTCTGTAACCCTTTGTGCTGTCTCTAGATCATGATCACCATCAGGCAAAACCTCTGGTTCAACAATTGGGACAAGACCATTCTGTTTCAGACAGTAAAATAAAATTGTTAATATTTTTTTAAATTAGAAAACCTAACTTTTTTTTAGGTCTCATTATAAAGTCTGTAATTACATTACTCTCCTATTCTACTTGCAGGGTTAAACAAGTTAATACCCTGATTTCCAAAAGCAGTTATGAAATAGTGTATGTGTTAGCTTAAGTCTGTAAATTTATTCATAGCCATACCTGTTGGCAAATACTGGCATAACGAGCTAGAACATTGGCATTTTCAAGCATGGCCTGGTATGATGGAGTGAACTCAGAAATCTTCAAAACACATCGCCATTTAGCAAACCCACATCCTCCCTTTTTGTATTCTGCACATCTTTCGGCAAGACCGTCCAAGCCTTAGAAAAAAATAAATGAAAGATCTTCAACACATCAAAATCTGTTGCATTCGACTAACTCTTAGTAATAATTATAAAATAGATCAATAGTGGTTTGATTCTAATAAATGTTCAATGGCAGGCCTTTTATTTTAATGTTAAATTAAAACTCAGTCTCATGTAAGGTAAACATTTTTTCTAGATCAGCAGTTTCAATAGGGAGGTGCAAAACTGCCAACTGGTGCTTCGTGAGGAGAGATTTTTTTTAAAAATGTACTATTTACAAAATAAATTTATAAAATATTTTGTGTCAGACAAGTTTAACTTTTGACAGAATATGAATGTTATCCCATTATCTGAACTTTAAGCTTTCTAGGGAAAACTCAAGTTTTTTTTAGTGAGATCAATAAAGGTTAAGATTACACTTTTATTATTTAACTATCAAATTTGGGTAAAAATATGTTTACTTTATGCAAAAAAAGTGGGGATAAGGGGAGTGCCATTTTTAGTGCTAATCTAAATACCACTGTTTGAGATCTGCCTACCTTGTGTTGTGCATTCATTTAAACTTCCAGCCAATGGAACAACACCTTTGTCGACTTTAATACCGGGAATGATGTTTTTTTCTTGCAAGACCTTTGTAAAAAATAAATTATAATGATGGAAATGGTACTCATAAATAAGTACTTTAAAAAATTTCTAACTAATTGTTTTTATTATTTTAATACTTATAAAAATAAGACAAAACATACACTTAAATTGTAAATTCAAAAGGAATACAAAGTTTGTTTTTATAAATAATACAGATGTACATTTGTTATATTGTTCTTTTAATGTTGCATAGATAATTTTGACTAAAAACCTTTCATAAAATAAACTGATTGCGAGACTAGTTTTAGGTTCTGTATATACCAACAACAACAAAAAAATTCACCTTGACAAATGGCTTTCCATCAGCTGTGCTCTGTCTAAAGGTCTCATCAAACAAGATGACACCACTGATGTTGTTGGAAATGCTGTTGTCGGCTGTGAACAGGAGCTCTCTGTACTTGCGCCTGTTGTCCTCAGTGTTGGGTAGATTGATGCTCTCCAGACGCTTTCCCATGGTGCCTAGGAAAATTTAAACATCGTGTTATGGATGATTTCCCCTTGAGCCTACGACAATTAACAGTTTGTCTTAGATCTTCACCATTCTTAATATTTACGTCAAAGGAGTCAAACAACAAGGGCAACACCATGGACAAACTGCACGGTCATCTGCAGATTTTCTGGCTCCCCACACACTATTTTTTTGAGTGGGATGTAATGGGGCTGAGTCTACAACATCTTACACTAGTAGATGATTTCCCATGTTGCCTACAACATTTTAAATGTTAGTGTTGTAGATCTTTGGTTGAGTAATGGAGCTAAAGTTAGCCTTAGGATATCCTTGAAATCAGCATCAAATACCATGGACAAGAGCACTACCTCATAAGCAGTATGTGCTGCCAGTAAGCATTAAAAAGGTACTACTAGAGATCTAGGAGAAGCTATTAAATCACAATCTGAGACCATAAAACCGGGACAGGCTTTAAGGCTAAAATATTCAAGCCCTTTTTTGTTAGCTAGTACTGCTGCCTTTAACAAACCCAAGCTCTAGCAACCATATGAGAAGACCAATATGAAACTATTGCCCAGCTGCTTATACAAACTCTCTGACCAACTCACCCACAGACTCATCTGCAGCTAGGATCCCCTTCCCAGGTGCCACAATATCTCTTGCAATCTGACGCAGCTCATCCTCCTGGGCTGGTGTCAGGTACTGTGCAAAGCGAGACTTAGATTCTGGGAATAAAAATAAAAACAACTGCTTAAACCACTGCTTTCAAGACAGTCTTTGTTTTTTGTTTTTATTATGTAAAGTATTTAATATTGATCACTAAATATTGTATCTCATGACATTGATGAATAAACTTATCTGGTGTAAAATAATATTACATTTTAAAGTCCATATTAAATCATTAAAATATTGACCATCTGTCATTCATTATTGATATAAAGAATAGCCATTGCAAAATCTTCCCACTGTAATTTCATGTTAATTAGTATCAATGACTTTATGGCAAAAAAGAGACCTTTCGAGAAAAAATTAACAAAGAAATCATACAAACATTGCTCAATACTATACTGTAATACTAGCTCTGCGATAAGTTTAATGTAGGCCTACCATGTACAATTTTAAATGCAAAGTAAATGAAGAAAAGTCAGGCAAAAGTTACATCAACTTCAAGTACTAAGGTCATGGCCATTGCAAATTGCTACATATCTTATGGGAAGGGCATAAAGACTTAATTCTAGATCTAGATTCTAATGCCAATTTACTAGAATAGTGTAGATATAGATTCTGGATCTAGATCTCTAGAACTAAATGGGTAAATAGTAAATTACTAAATCTAGTAAATAGGGGCTAAAAGCAAATCTAGCTGCAGCTAGATCTAGACTAGATTCTAGATCTAGATCAAGTGCTGCCAGGTTATGTGTTACAATGTGTATTGTGTATGTAGTCTAGTAATAAAATATAAGGCCTACTAAGTGTTGTAATGAAGAGTGAATGTCTTCCACCTATGCAGAACCTATCATTTGGTGTAGTGAAAGTAATACAGAGTACACTATGAAGAAATATGAAGTGACAGTACACTGAGTACAGTACTTTGAGTACACTGTACAGTGTACAGTGTTCGCCGGCTGACTGGTCAGTAACAATTGGATTATTTAAACATATCCATATTTTATGAAGCTTTCATTAAAAGAACGCATTCAAATATCATGCAACAAACATTTTAAAGATAAGATAAACAAAAAGTTGTTTATATTCATTACATACTTGCCATTGTTGATTCTAAAATGTTTTAACTTCGTCTGTGGTACAAAGTGCTACTTTGCTTGGAGGAATAGATAGATCGAGGGCGAATCCGAGGCTCGCGAGTGACGTATTAAGGTCGATCTTAATATTACCTTCACCTTCATCATTGTGGGATCCCCGTGACCACTAATATTTTGACATTTTACTAACAACTTGCGATTTATTTTTGTAAATAGTATAATTTTAAATATATAAATTTTAGCTTAGTATTCAAGTTTAAAAAATTTAAAAATTGCTTTATCATTGGAAACTTACTTGCAATGAAATAACCAGGTTGCCGATATTTATAAACACGGTCAAGGTGAGAAGGTCAATGTTATAGTTAAGGGATAGAAAGTCACACAGCTGCAGTCTATACTATACAGACCATTTTGTCAGCATAAAAATTAAACATACCCATAATAACTATTGCGTGGTAAAATTGGGGAATTTCCTCCGTTACATTCACGGAAATACAATGGGAGGGTGTTAGCCATTAGGGAAGGGGAGTGGTTCAAGCATAATACATCTAACTTTTTTGTTTTCTAACAATGATGGTAGATGGAAATATTTGGAACAGCACTAGATCTAGTCCAAGTAGGAGTAGGGCATACACAGAATTGAAAAAATAAAATGTAATCTAGATCTAGATAAATCTAGGTTTCTACGTCATTTCACTCCATTCGTGTGGGGTTGTTGGGGGAGGTTCTCAATGCATCGTCTGCGTGAGCTAATTCTGAGATAGCCTTTCGTGCTTCGGCGAAGCCTTCGCCAACGACCCCGGCCTTCCAAATTCCAATGCCAAGTCGGTAGTAAAAGGAAGGACACAAGGCAGCGACATGCTTGTTTAGTTTTAAAGTTTACTTTTAGTAACCAATCGATTTTTAACCTGCTCTATGGAAGTATGCAAAGGTTTCTAAATCACTTTGTTAAAGCGATACATATCTTGCCAGAACAGCATAATTGGCTCGTAGATCTATAGTATGTTCTGCTGAACCAGCTTAACTTAACCTTAACTAATCTATAGCTATTTCTAAAGCGACCTATATTAAGACATGACATAATATTTTTAGCTCAACAAATAGATCTTTTTAATGGACACACTAACGAGCTGTCTAGTGCAGGGAGGTCGTTCCGTAATTCACCTCTAAGACGAAGTTGGATAATCAATTTGTTTTATACAGATTAGATGACTAATTTAATATTGGACTTAATTCAATGATATGAAATTTCAAAAAGATTTACTTGATTATAACGTTTATTAACAATATTATTAGTATGTTGAGTAGGGCCTATATACATTTTCATTTAATTCTTCTTAGTGGTGGAATAAAGGGAAAGAAGGGGGGGGGGGTGGAGTCCACAAGACCTTCGCCGGCCTTGACATAGGCATATCTATAGTGCGTGCAACAGCTAGTAGCTGACACAATGACAGCCAGGACTAATTTGAGAATCTAAGTGCAGAACATGCCTACCACATGGTAGTTATGGGGCCAGAGGCGTAGCGACCCCTACCGGGGACAAACTTTCAATTTGGCAGCCCCCTCCCAATATATTTTTTATGTTTATAATTCAAAACTACAGCTAAAATAAGCTTTTCATTTTTTTTCCAAACCCCTTTTGGCGCACGGGGACATATGTACCCACCCGCCCCCCTTCGCTACCCCTCTGCATGGGGCTGTCCATAAATGATGTCACTCCCCTGTAGCGCAGGAGGGGGGGGGGGTCGATAGACTTTGCATTTATTTTTTATATCTTGTAAATGAAGAATATGATGAAAACCATGTTATATTTCGGTTTAGAATGTTATTAGCTATTCAGGAGGGCTGCGAACTAAACTCCATGACATTATTTCAGTGGGGCGGTTTTGTGAAAATAGGGAATGGAGGTGAACATCGTCTTTTTTTTAAACGTCACGTCATCTACGGACGTCTTAATCTGTATTGTAGCGGTTCACAAATTAAAGCCACAACATAAAAAAAAATACTTAAAAAAAACCTATTTGGACATGACAGTCTATGTGGTAGACAGTGTTTCTTTCAGGCATCTCTTCGGATGGGGGGCACTTATACCAGTGTGTCCCCCCCCCCCCCCCCCAAAAAAATAATTTAGTCCGACCCCAGCCATCTACCCCACCCCGAAAGTCCTCCCCCACCCCCTTTCTCCAAGAGAAAAAAAGTATGAACAACAAACCCACTGATGACAGATGGATAGTAATGAGGGTTTTCGAGATTCGAACCCCAGACCTTACGAGTAATAGCTGTTATAAAAATATCTGTCACAGTACCATCGAGGAGGCTACATAAAGATACAACCAGACACTTTACTCTTTAAGTTATGTGATTGCATACAATCCTGGAGAAGAACAGCAGTAGAAGCAGTGTTTCTTCCAGGCATCTCTCCAGGGGGGGGGGGGGGAGGAGGAAGAGAGTCTACCGCCCCACTACCCCGAACGAAATGGAATTTATATTTTTAAAAATATATACTTTTAATCGTCTCCCCTCCCCCGAATATCCCCCCCCCCCCCGGAGAAAAAAGTCTGTAAGAAACACTGAAACACTGAGTAGAATAGGCAAGGTGTGCCGGGCTAACGCGGGCGCAAACGAAGATAGCTGCTGAATACCGAGTCCGGTGGGTGCGGCCCTTTGCCCCCCCCCCCCCCCCGGGGCCACAAAGGATTAAAGAAGAAAAGAAAGATAAATTCAACGTTAGTATAACCTTTGGCAATCAGGGTTATCGTGTAATTTGCTTGACCTCATTTATCGACCGAGAACTGATGACTTAATTGTTTAATCGACCTTACGGTATTGATTAAAATTGGTGCAAGTTGCCTAATACTAGCTTAATACTGAGAAAAGGATCAAATGAAAGGGTGGGGGATGGGGAAAAAATGGTGTAGTCTATGGAATTTCTATTTAGCCTTGTAGGGTTAGGGTTAGGACCAGTGGCGTAGCGAGGTCGGGTGTCACCCGGTGCGGCACTTAATTGTGTCACCCCCCAGAGGCGTAGCGACACTTCCCGGGGACAAACTTTCAAGTTTTCGATTTGCACCCCCTCAAACTATCGATTTGCACCCAGCCCCCCCCCCCCCCCTCAAACTTTCGATTTGCACCCCCTCTTCAAGTTTTTCTCTATATAATTTGCTATATTTTGCCTTGGTGTCACCCCCCCCCTAAATGGTGTCACCCGGTGCGGTCCGCCCCCCGCCCCCCCCCCCACCCCTCGCTACGCCCCTGGTTAGGACAAGGGTTAACTTTAGGGCAGTTAAAAGTAGCAATGCTAGCGAAATTAGACTTCATTTTTAATTCGCCCGGTCAACGAAAAAAAAATTAATAAAAAATAAAAAAACGTTTTTTAAAAGAAAAACATCGAAACAAACTTGATTAAAAAGTTGTACCGTCATCATCGTCTGCTCGTCCTGTCCGTTTGGCCAACTTGTCATTGGTTCTGGAGAGTATAGGGGCTGCGGAGAAGGAGTTCTTGTAAGGAATCCCTTTGTCGATTGACGATGAATTATCAAAACAGCAGCACAGGGATGGCATCTGACAATAGAGACTGCAGTATTATTATACACAGACTAGCTGCATCCCGTGCTCCGCCACGGTAAATCTGTTTTAAATGTACCAACTTGGGAACAGAACAAAACTAAACACAACACAAACGAACGCAAAAAAAAACGAAAAAACAAACACAACACTCATAACATAAACACAATTTAAATGCAATCATAAAGACATATTGCTCACAGTCTAGCCCGTAGCGCCAAATCGCGCCCTTTTCGGTGATTTGCACCCCCCTTAAACTTTTGATTTGCACCCCTTCCCCCCCCTAAAACTTTCGATTTCCACCACCCCCCCCCCCTCGCAAATTTTTTCCAACCCACTTTGGCGCCCCATAAGGTCGGCACCCGGGGACATATGCCCCCCCCCCCTCGCTACGCCTCTCCTATAAAACGTGAAAGATAGAATAATAATTAGAAAACAGTATAAATAATAGGCAGTATTTAAAATATCTGTGTTTTACCTACAATATTTCACTTTATCCATTCACGCATTTTTTTCCAGTACTTTAAAATTTACAAAAGAGTTTCATAACTAAAACCATTGCGCACCTAATGAACGTGATGACGCGTCTATAATAGTGCTGAATAGTTAATTAAAAATTATAAGTAATAAACAGTAGGGCCTACATTCAGTGAATAAAATAAATAAAAGATTGCCTTTTATCAATCCATGCTAATTATAATTTTCTAACAATAATTTCCTCTTACACATCCGAATAATTTGCATTCACATTTTGCTAATTATATTATTGCAACACTAATTCCTTCTATGACGAACGTATATTTGCATTCACATTTTTTATTAGCGTGAGTTTAATGTATTTTTAAATTACCTCCTTTGTCAAAATTAGAAAAGAGTTAAATTAATTTGATTTTTCTACCGTACTGTTATTATGTTATTAAAATGTATCCACTTTTTCTAGGAATATTAACGAAAACTATATTTGACATTGATCCTTTTAATATGTTTTAGCAATGTGCGTGTATTTAATATTCTCTTTACGTTATGCAAAATTGTACAAATAGTGGCAATTATAAAATAGCTCTATGCCGCTATATAAACAAACCCTACTCCATAACTTATAATAAGACACTGCGGTGCACTGAAAAGCACAGCATGGTGCGAATGTTTACTTTTATGGTTCCAAAAGCTATAGCGATGACAGAAGGAAGGAAGGAAGGAAGGAAGGACTGACACACGCTCAGCCCGCTTATATTATAGACTAGCTGCATCCCGTGCTCCGCCACGGTAAATTTTTTTTTAAATGTACCAACTTGGGAACAGAACAAAACTAAACACAACACAAACGAACGCAAAAAAAAAACAGAAACGAAAAAACAAACACAACACTCATAACATAAACACAATTTAAATACAATCATAAAGGCATATTGCTCACAGTCTAGCCCGTAGCGCCAAATCGCGCCCTTTCCGGTGATTTGCATCCCCCTCAAACTTTCGATTTGCACCCCTGTCCCTCGCCCTAAAACTTTCGATTTCCACAACCCCCCCCCCCCCCCCCTCTCGCATATTTTTTTCCAACCAACT